GATGCTGGTGCAGCAGCAGGTGAAACGCGGGGAAGCAGCAGGCTGGAGTCGTCGTTTGAGAACCTGTCCTTGGATTCGGATGAAGCAGGCTCGTCAGAAAGCTCTGCTGCTGCTGTCGGCACGGGGCAAGCACAGCCAGCATTATTAAGAAATTCACAATTTTACCCCAATTCGGACGAAGCGGGCTCGTCAGAATCCTCTGTTGCTTGGGAGGAGCAGGCAATGGCAGCACCGCGAGCGGCTCCTACTGGGAGGGAGGAAAGCTCCTGGACGGTTCAAATGTCCTCCTATTGTTCGCAAACATTGCTACGGGAAGAGGAGGGCAAGGCTGGATCGGTAACCGCTGTTTGTCCTGGAGAGAAATTTGAAGCTGACAGCAAGACCTGGTCTGATGCTGCATTTTTTCCCAAGGACACTGAAGGGGACAGAAAGACATGTTCTGACGCTGCAGTTTATCCAAAGGACACTGAAGGGGACAGCCAGCCCTACAATGAAGCGGACAGCAAGATGACATCTGACATTCCGTTCCCCCCTCGGCAGCAGCTTTCAAGAAAGTTCTGCCGGTTGTTGGAATGCTGGGCTGGTGCGAAGGGCAGCAGAGGAAGAGGAGCGTGCGCGAGGGGATGTGACAGAGGGAGGGTTGGGGAAGATGATGGGGGAGGGGCTGGCATGGGAAGCCGAGGTAGGCTGAAGAAGTGGTGGGGAGGTGTGTAGTTATGGTGCATTGCGAGCACATCAGTTACTGTGTCTGTAGATTTAGATTGGGAATGCGGATGTATATGGTAGATGTCAGCAACATGACGTGAGAGGAATTTGTATTGCACGCCAGGTTCTTAGTATGAAGTGATGCAACTGTTGACTGGGTGGTTTAAGATTCATGTGTCCACTAATGGTTAGCAGAATTAGTATAAGGTATTAACAAATGCATCCATTAATCTATACCCCGCACACAACGCACACACCCTAGCACAGTCACTAACGCACACACACACGCGCTCACCACACTCTGCACACTAGGAACCACCTGCTGCAAATCTCAGCTCTCAAAACGGTGGAGGCAGACGGTAAAGAGCCACTGCTTACGAGCAGCGTGATATACGGTAATAAGTTAGTGCGGAGACATTAAAAATACCAGCTTTTCCATCACCGTGACTCAGATGGTCGCTGCGAATTTAAGCCACTGCTTCAGAGTAGGCGACTTCTTCAGAGCGGCCTTGAGCTCTCCACCCTTCTCCGCAGGCTTTGCGGAACCTTCCTGGGAAGCCTTCTTTGCCTTGGGACTCGCCGCTGCCGCGGCCTTGCCTCCCTTGGGCACCTTTCTACGCGCTGAGCCATAGGATTTAGTCCCCGCAGTCGCCGCGCGCGGCGCGGGCGTGCGAGACTTGGCAACTTTAACGTCGGCGGTGGCGGCGGCGCCGCCGATGTCAGACGCCGCGGCGGCGTCCACGCTGTAACTGTACATCTGCGCGACGCGCTCCAGATGCTGCGCCTCCATCAGCGCGTCGACCACGCGCATGCGCGCCGCGTGGAGGTCCTTCCGAATCGCCTCCTCAGATACCACCTCCGCGCCGAGCCCGAGCGCGAGAAGTTCAAGAGGGGCAGGTAGTTCCTGGGACAGGTTCATCTGGTGAACCTGGTCGGCTGGGAGCTGGGTGAAGGTCGGATCTGCTTCGAGGAACATCAGACGGTCGAGAAACTCCGTCTCCCAGTACCCCGCGCCGATCACGGCGTCCATCGCGCGCTTGCGCGCGTCCTCCGCGATAACTACCGCGGACTTGGCGGATTCCGCGCCGGCGGCGGATGCGGATTTGAGTTCGTCGGTGATCGCCTGGGCGGTCGAGTCGGGAAGCGCCGTCGGCGCCGCAGTTGGCGGCGTGTATTCCGGTGATGGCGGAGGCTGCTCAAGGGCTTCGGTGATCGCGGCGGCTGGTGCGGCGAGGGAGAGCTGCCCCGTGGACGAAAAGGACGACCTTCGCGAATGGCTGCAGAATCCCGCGGTCGCCGTATTACCATAGCCGGCGAAATCCGGGAACGACGACGCTGCGACCGTACCGTGCGAGTGGGTGGCGAAGGAGTGGGTCGCGTGCGATGGAATCGCGGAGTTGGCGACGGAGCTGCTGGCGAAAGGGTCGGTGTGGTGCAGCGGCTGTGGGCATGCGATGAGGGACGACGTGCTGCGACGCGAAAAGGAGCTGCGGCGCGTCGAGACGGACTGGTGCTGCGAAAAGGCGGGCGCGACGTTGGTGTCGGGCGCGATCAGCATCGCGAGGATCTTCCCCGTTGGCTTCATCCTTGCAGGTGAGAGAGAGAGGCAACCAGACTGGTTGTTCTCACACTCACAAAGCTGTACTCGTTCGCAGGAAGAGCTACGGACGAGTTTACTCACGAGTTGTTTGTGTGACTTGGAGAAAAACTCGCGAGTGAAGGAGTAAGAATGACTGGGGGTAGCACGGGAGGTCGGCACTAGGAGACGGTGGACTATAGACGACAGTGTCGCGCGAGGTGGTAAATATAGCTCGTCCCTTGGTGCGTGTGCTGCGTAAGGACGATCCTAGAGTGGTCGCGCCAACGATGACGTTTCGCTCCGTCCCAGGAGGAAAGCAGCGGAAGGGCAGGCAGCATAATTTGTCTTGTTTTGAGACGAGGGAAGCAAAGCAAAGGAGCGGCTGTGTGTACAGCGTAAAATGCAAATTGCAGCGAAATTTGCTGAAATTCCGAGGTGAGGGGAGATGGATGGACGGACAGCAGGAGGGGCAGCGAACTGTAGCTTCAGCGTGGAGATGCTACGCGTCGCGAAAAAATAGGAATTTGGCCGATGTCCACGGACATGTATGTGCTTTCGAGCCGCGCATTGGTGTTTTGTGGTGTGAGTGGATTTTTTTCTCCCCTCCTTTCGCGGATGTCGCGGTCAGGTTCAATGCAAAAATCAGGTGACACGTAAGGAGTGGAGCGCTTACGCTGTCGTGAAATCGAACGTGAGCCATAAGAAAGATCGAGAAACGACAAAATGGAAACACCTTCGTTTGCATCTCTCATCCGCAACCATCAACTCGACAGCTGGTATAAATGACCCATCCAATCATTCGCATTCGAGAAGCAAGCGAATCATGAGGGACACAGTTTAAAAATCTCGGCGCCGATCTCAGCCACCAGATAATCTGTAATTGAGCAGGAGCCACGATGTCTTGGTTTTTGGGCACTAGGTGGCATCTTTCTTCCACGTGAGAAAGCCACGTGGTCCTATGCAATATAGGCGAGATTACCAGCTTATATACACTAGCAATGCATTAATCATAAGTCAACACGAATTACAAGCTATGTCAACACTGACTTGTCGTTCCAGACCTCCAGAGAACATCCAGATGTTGCTGGAATCTTCCAATTTTTGTTTACAAGAGAAATTATTCCCCAAATGAATCATCACATATAGCAGTCTAGAAAAAGAAATTCCCGAAAGTAATTGGTATTAAAATTATTAAATATATTCTATTTCCAATGTTATGTGTCGATGTAGTATAATGGTCAGTATCTCCGCCTGTCACGCGGAAGATCCGGGTTCGATCCCCGGCATCGGCGTTTTGTTTCGCCTAGAGCTTTCCGTCACCGATTCGGAACAATTCGCACTTAACTGACCAACCGCTGAAGCCTATTTTTCCAGCAATTTCCGGCTGCGCGCCGATGGCTGCATCATCGCCATTCCCGCCTCCTGGTGAGCGCTACGCTGCTCCTTGTTCTATCCTCCCCCACCCTCCCCCACCCCCCCCCCCCCCCCCCCCTCCCCCGCCCCCGCATTCGTCGCTGCACCTTCCAGAATTTATTGTTCCAGTCACAGGATCATATTACTCTTTACTGTCGGAGACTTTCCGTTGAAAGAGGTGTATGACGTTTTTCGTCGACTCGGGTTGTGACGGTTTCCGTCAGCGCAGGTAGCTTTCTGGCGGCGGCGGCGAAAGCGGAAGAGGAGGAACGAAACGGAAACGTTAAGGTGGGAGGGAGACGGGCAAGTGGGTGGGAAGGAAGGGCGGTCTTAAAGGACGTGGGAAAGTTCTAGGAAAGTCCGGGGGCGGAAACGACTGAACGGGGGAATGAGAGAGGAGAGGGTGAGGAACGGCCTTTGAGACGTCTCGGAACTAGAGGAACAAGGGGTTGCGTCTTTGCGTCTGTGGCGAGGACAGAATTGTCTTAGGACATTTTCCAGTGAGCAGCAGCGCTTAGGTTCAGGCTTAAGCAAGTAGGAATAAGCAGTGAAATTCTAACACTAGCTAATAGCCAAGAGCTTGTGAAACTGGAACTCTTCTCGTTAACAGAAAAAATTGTAAAAATTGTAAAATTGTTAAGGTGAGAGACGGCATGAGGTCACCACCATTTCCATGGACCATTTCCACCCCACCCTGCTCCACCCCACGCCATCCCACCAAATCCCACCTCGCCCCGCTCCACTCCACCCCACCGCATCTCATCCCCCCAGGGAGCCAAGGCAGTGTACGAGCAGTTGGTGGGTGATGCCGCCACTCGCTGCCCCCTCGCTCACATCCAGGTACCTTCCCCACGCATGCCTTCCCCACGCATGCCCTCCCCACGCATGCCCTCCCTTTCACTACCCCTTTTCCTTGCACCCTTATCCTAACCCCTTTCCCTAACCCGGCCCTAACCCCTTTCCCTAACCCCTTTCCCTAACCCCTTTCCCCTTCTTGCTGTACCCCCCATGTGTTCCTGCCACCCCTCACCCCTCACCCCTCACCCCTCACCCCCCACCCCCCACCCCTCACCCCCCACCCCTCACCCCTCACCCCTCACCCCTCACCCCCCACCCCTCACCCCTCACCCCCCACCCCTCACCCCTCACCCCTCACCCCTCACCCCTCACCCCCCACCCCCCACCCCTCACCCCCCACCCCTCACCCCTCACCCCCCACCCCTCACCCCTCACCCCTCACCCCTGTCAGCTCATGCGCTTCCTCCGCCGCACAGAGGGCAGATAGGCGTTTCTAGCAACGAGGATGACGCAGGAGATCTCACTCATCGAATACCCTCTCTGTATCCCCTCCCCCCAATCCGTTCCCTCCTCCAACCCCTTCCTTCCACCCCACTCAGTTCATGCGCTTTCTCTGCCGCACCGCACAGAGGGCATGGAGGCGGGCAGAAAGGCGTTTCTGGAGACAAGGAAGGCGCGGGAGTGCTTGCTCGTCATATCCCCTCTCTGTAACCCCCCAACCCCTTTTCTCCTCCTCCAACCCATTCTCCATCCCAAATCCTCAGCTCATGCGCTTTCTCCGCCGCACAGAGGGCATGGAGGCGGGCAGAAAGGCGCTCCTTCGCTGCAGCACTGACGGCACGTGAGAGAGCTCACTGCACGTTTACCCTCCCTTGCCCTCCCCCCCCCTTCAACCTCCTCAGCTCATGCGCTTTCTGTGGCGCACAGAGGGCATGGAGGCGGGCAGAAAGGCGTGCGAGTGCTCACTGCATGTTCACCCCCCCCTTAACTGCCCCCAGCTAATGCGCTTCCTGCGCCGCACAGAGGGCATGGAGGCGGCCAGAAAGGCGTTCCTGGCAGCGAGGAAGGCGCGGGAGTGCTCTTTCCACGTGTATGTGGCTTCAGCTTACATGGAGCTGTGCCACAACAAGGAGAGCAAGGTGAGCAATGGGGGCAGGGAGGGCAAGGCGAAGGGATGTGACTGGCAAGGAGGGCAAGGCGAAGGGATGTGACTGGCAAGGAGGGCAAGGCGAAGGGATGTGACTGGCAAGGAGGGCAAGGCGAAGGGATGTGACTGGCAAGGAGGGCAAGGCGAAGGGATGTGACTGGCAAGGAGGGCAAGGCGAAGGGATGTGACTGGCAAGGAGGGCAAGGCGAAGGGATGTGACTGGCAAGGAGGGCAAGGCGAAGGGATGTGACTGGCAAGGAGGGCAAGGCAAAGGGATGTGACTGGCAAGGAGGGCAAGGCGAAGGGATGTGACTGGCAAGGAGGGCAAGGAAGGAAGGCGCGCGAATGCTCGTTCCACGTGTATGTGGCTTCGGCGTATGTGGAGCTGTGTCACAACAAGGAGAGCAAGGTGAGGAAAGGGGGCAGGCAGGGCAAGGTGATGTGACTGAGAAGGAGGGCAAGGAAGGCAAGAGAGTGCTCGTTCCCGTGTGGATGTGGCGTCTGCTTACATGGAGCTGTGCCAGAACATGGAGAGCAAGGTGAGACACGCACGGCTGTGATTATGGACTGAGACAAGTGAGTAAAGTAAAAGTGCTCTTGCTTGCACCAGACAAGTGAGTAAAGTAAAAGTGCTCTTGCTTGCACCAGACAAGTGAGTAAAGTAAAAGTGCTCTTGCTTGCACCAGACAAGTGAGTAAAGTAAAAGTGCTCTTGCTTGCACCAGACAAGTGAGTAAAGTAAAAGTGCTCTTGCTTGCACCAGACAAGTGAGTAAAGTAAAAGTGCTCTTGCTTGCACCAGACAAGTGAGTAAAGTAAAATTGCTCTTGCTTGCACCAGACAAGTGAGTAAAGTAAAAGTGCTCTTGCTTGCACCAGACAAGTGAGTAAAGTAAAAGTGCTCTTGCTTGCTCGCCCTGCTTCTTCCCTCTGCCCCTCCTCCGCCTGCTCCACAGGTGGCGCGGAACGTGTTCCAGCTGGGGATGAAGAAGTTTGGGTCTGAGCCTGGCTTCGTGCGCGAGTGAGTTAATCAAACTACCCGTTGCTCTCCCCCCCCTTTTTCTTTCCCCCGCGGCTCCTTTGCCTGCTCCCCTCCCCTCTCGTCCCCCACAGGTGGCGCGGAACGTGTTTCAGCTGGGGATGAAGAAGTTTGGGTCTGAGCCTGGCTTTGTGCGCGAGTGAGTGGGTGGGTGGGTGTGTGGGTTGGTATGGGTGGCTGGGTGGGTGGCTGGGTGGGTGGGTGAGTGAGTGAGTAGGTGGGCTTGCCAACTTTCCCTATTCCAGGTTCGCTCACCTCCCCCACCCTACCATCTTTCCCCCTTCCAGGTTCGCGCGCTTCTTGAGCCGTCTCAACGACGGGCAGGCCATGAGGGAACTGCTGCAAGGCGCCCTGGCGTCCCCGTCCCTCGCACCACATTCCACAATCATGGTCAGTGCTCAAAATAAGGTGAGGTCAGTGCTCGAAATAAGGTGAGGTCAGTGCTCGAAATAAGGTGAGGTCAGTGCTCGTTCCACGTGTATGTGACATGGTAGCTGTGACATAGCTGTAACGCTTATTTTTCTAACACTGTTCCCTTTCTCCACCTTTTTGCGCCTTTCTCCACGTTTTCCACCTTTCTCCACCGTTCCTCACCTTTCTCCACCTTTCTCTACCGTTGTACACCGTTCTCCACCGTCTTCAGCTATGGGAGGAGCTCATAGAGTGCGAGCAGCTCTTTGGGGACCTCAACTCCCTTATCAAGGTGCCCTGCGTCTGTCTTCTGAGGCGCCTCGAATTCCTGCGTCTGTCTTCTGAGGCGCCTCGAATTCCTGCCTCTGTCTTCTGAGGCGCCTCGAATTCCTGCCTCTGTCTTCTGAGGCGCCTCGAATTCCTGCGTCTGTCTTCTGAGGCGCCTCGAATTCCTGCCTCTGCCTGTTACAAAAGTCGAGCCAACTTCTGATTCAACTCACTGTTTTACAGTTTAAATCAATAAATGCAAGCAACTTTTTTTTTCTCTCGCTCTCTCCTGACCTGAGTTCGATCCGCCCAGAGAGGTAGGTTGCCTTATCATCCGAACGTGTCACAATTCCATAGCCTCTGATGTTTGAAGTTTCATGTGATAATCATTTTTTAAAACTCCCACCAGCAACGGCCTCTCATTCCGTGCTGAATTCCCTCATCCCCGCGTCTCTTTCCCTCATCCCCGCGTCTCTTTCCCTCATCCCCGCGTCTCTTTCCCTCATCCCCACGTCTCTTTCCCTCATCCCCGCATCTCTTTCCCTCATCCCCGCGTCTCTTTCCCTCATCCCCACGTCTCTTTCCCTCATCCCCGCGTCTCTTTCCCTGTCTCTTCAGGCACAAGAAGGTCGGCGAAAAGCTCTAGCTTTGGTTGCAAGCCCTGGCGGTGATGCCGAGCCTGAGTTGCAGGTTTGGCGGGAGCAGCGGGACCTGGTAGACCGGTTCAGCTACTGCGGCCTGTTGCCTTGTGAAGCGTCAGCTCTCCCTCCGAACCTAGAAGCAGGCTCGGCAGGTCCGAAGGCAAGCCAGGCTCGACAAAGGTCAGTGGAGGATCAGGTTCGGGAAACAGGTCAAGGGGTAACAGAGAGAGGAGAAAGAGAAGCGAAGGAGCAAGAAGCAAGGAGCGGCACCAGTGCAGCAGGAATAGGAGGAACAGCAGCAGGCACGGGAACTAGCACAGCAGCAGGGGCAGCGGTAACAGCACAAGTAGCAGCAGGGGTGAAGGCAGAGCCTCAAGAATCGTCCTTACCTCCGCCTCTCCCTCCCACTGTGTCTCTCTCTCAAGGCATAGGGCCTGCACCCCCTGCTGTCTCCTCCCTCTCTGCTGCTCTGGCCGCCGCTGCTGCTGTGCTCATGCCTCGTGAAGGGGCAGCAGGGGCAGGAGGTGCAACAGCAACAGGGGCAGCAGCAGGAGGGGCAGCAGCAACAGGGGCAGCAGCAACAGGGGCAGCAACAGAGGGTGGGGAGGAGGCGATTTCTAGACGGGTAAAGGAGGAAGCAGGGGAAGAGGAGGGGCCTGGCGCGGCTGTTGGTGCTGATGGTGCCACTGTTGGTGCTGATGGTGCCACTGTTGGTGCTGATGGTGCCACTGTTGGTGCTGGTGAGACGAAAGAGGGTGGGGTGAAGGGTGGGGCGGAGAGGGGAGAACAACAGAGGGAGGGGGCAGCAGGGGAAGCGGGTCTGAAGACACATCAGTTTGTGGCAAGTGCTGCTGTGGAGTGGAAACCTGGTGAGTGAGGGAGTGAGTGAGTGAATAGGTTGTTTTTTTGGAGGTATCTAGAGGAGTGAGTTAGTGAGTGAGTGAGTGAGGGAGGGAGGGTGGGACGGACGCGATGGGTGGGTGAGTGAGCGACGAGAGAGGAGTGAGGGAGCAGCTGGGGCAGCGGGTGTGAAGATGCATCAGTTTGTGGCGAGTGCTGCTGTGGAGAGAAAGGCAGGTGAGTGAGTGAGAGAATGAGTGAGTGAGTGAGGGAGTGAGTGAGTGAGAGAGTGAGTGAGGGAGTGAGTGAGTGAGTGAGTGGGATTCTGACAGGCTGGCTGGTGTGTGATTGGTGGGTAGAGTGGATGGGTGAGAGTGGATGGGTGAGAGTGGATGGGTGAGAGTGGATGGGTGAGAGTGGATGGGTGAGAGTGGATGGGTGAGAGTGGATGGGTGAGAGTGGATGGGTGAGAGTGGATGGATGGGTGAGAGTGGATGGGTGAGAGTGGGTGGGTGAGAGTGGGTGGGTGAGAGTGGGTGGGTGAGAGTGGGTGGGTGAGAGTGGGTGGGTGAGAGTGGGTGGGTGAGAGTGGATGGGTGAGAGTGGATGGGTGAGAGTGGATGGGTGAGAGTGGATGGGTGAGAGTGGGTGGGTGAGAGTGGATGGGTGAGAGTGGACGGGTGAGAGTGGATGGGTGAGAGTGGATGGGTGAGAGTGGATGGGTGAGAGTGGATGGGTGAGAGTGGATGGGTGAGAGTGGATGGGTGAGAGTGGATGGGTGAGAGTGGATGGGTGAGAGTGGATGGGTGGGAGTGGATGGGTGAGAGTGGATGGGTGAGAGTGGATGGGTGAGAGTGGATGGGTGAGAGTGGATGGATGAGAGTGGATGGGTGAGAGTGGATGGGTGAGAGTGGATGAGTGAGAGTGGATGGGTGAGAGTGGATGGGTGAGAGTGGATGGGTGAGAGTGGATGGGTGAGAGTGGATGGGTGAGAGTGGATGGGTGAGAGTGGATGGGTGAGAGTGGATGGGTGAGAGTGGATGGATGAGAGTGGATGGGTGAGAGTGGATGGGTGAGAGTGGATGGGTGAGAGTGGATGGTGAGAGTGGATGGTGTTAGTGTTAGTCTTCAATCTCACACTTCGTACTTTGTATTTTCTATATCCTATAGTAGTGTAATTTGAACATTGTGTTTGGTTGGGTATACACCTACATCCGAATCAAACCCAAATGTAATCTCCAAGCAATCTCCAACCCACCAATTGGAGATTGCCTTGGGATTACCCCCAATCCTTATGGATTGCTCCCGATTCCCTTCCCCATCCATTCCCTCCCCTTCTTGGATGTACTTAAAGAGCTTCGAGCTCATTACTAATGTATCGCTTGTAAGCCTAAGTTCTCAGATGGTATCAGAGCCCTTCAAACCGCACACGCGGATCGTGATCCTCTTATCTCTGCGGATGTTCATCCCGCAAACCTCGGCGTAACCGCCTTCAATCTCGTCGCCGTTGATTCGCGACATTCGTGGGCGGAAATTCTTCCGCTCCACTTTCCCGTCACTCTCGACGGCATCTACTATCTCACTGGTAAGCGCATCGTCGGCGCTTTAACCTATCGCTCGTTTTCGTCGAACATCATCGCGTCATTCCTTCTCCTCGTCGGGCCGCCGCCCGTCGCCGTGCAGCTTCACCTTTGGGCTGCCGCCCGTCGCTCCGCATCTGCACTCCTACCCCCATCCCCCTCCCTTTCCCGCAGCTGAACAGGTGCAGCAGCGCAGCCGAGTAGCAGCGCAGCCGAGCAGCAGCGTAGCCGCGAAGCCGAGCAGCCGTGTAGCCACGAAGCCGAGCAGCAGCGCAGCCGAGAAGCTGAGGGTGGTGTGTGGGGGGGTGTGTGGGAATAGGATTAGTAGGTAGTTGACACTAAATTGGCGTTTCAGTCGAATTCTCCTTCAGAAACCCGAAACCTCAAAATTCTCTTTCGTAAACCCTAAACCTCCGGTTCTTCAAAATCTCCTTCGGAAACCCCAAACCTCAAGTTCCTATCGTTGACTCAAGAGCGGCGCTCCGCGCGACACCCTAAGGGGTCTCCATCATGGCATTAGCCTCGTCCACCATGGCCAACCCCATCACCCCACTCCGTCTTGACGCCGATGGCTCTAGCTCCAACTTCAAGGCATGGAGCTATGGGGTTGACAAGCACCTGCCGAGCCGTGACGTACAGGGATTGGATTCAAGGATGTCCTCCTCAACCGTGGCAAGGGAAAACAGCCCTTTCTCCCTCGCGAGCCGACCGAATCCGCTAGTGAGGCTGACACAAAGGCATATGAGGAAGCCGTTGAGAAGTACCGGAAGTGGGAGAAGGCCGATGCTGCAATTATCAGCGTCTTCATCGCCTCCACCCCTCCAGAACTTGTCAACACGTTCCATAACTACCCTACCTCCAACGACATCTGGAAGTATCTCCAGGATCGGTTTATGAAAAAGACTGCAGTCGGAGGTGCCATCCTCATCCCCAGCATGTTCCATGTCCGCCTTGAGGATTGCTCGGGAATGGCCGACTACATTGCCAAGGTTCAGACCATTCATGGCGAACTCAAGGAGCTGGGTATAGTCTTCCCCGAACAGGCTCCTACAGCAGCTCTTCTCGTTGGTCTCACCACAACCTGTGAAATCACAAGGAAGATGCTCCTCACGCTGACTGCGGAAGACCTCACTTTTGCCAAGGTCTCCACCGCACTCCTCTCTGCCGAGAAAGACTCCACGGCCCAGGCCAAGGCTTACGCCATTCGTGCTCCCATGCCTCAAGCCAGTATCGCATCGGCCCTTGCCTCGGCGCCCCTCCAGCGCAACCGCTTCCCGCCGTGCACCTACGTCGTCAAGTATGGCAACCGCAAGGGACAAGTGTGTGGTGGCACTAACCACCCCCTTGCTACGTGCTTCAAGAAGAAGGACGATGAATGGTACGCCATCCACGGCATAGACAAGAGGCCACCGAACTGGATGCGTGCGCGTAAGGCCAACCTGGTTGAGGTCCAGGACCTCGCTTCGGCTAGTGCTAGTGATAGTGCTCCTGCTAATGCCCGTATCAACCTGTTGTTCCCTGACACTGCCATGATTAATGAAGCTTCCTCCCAGTACCTCGGCTCATCACAAGCACCACAATACATAGAGTTCACACTCGACAGTGGCGCCACACACAATGTACTCAAGGAGACACTCTCCTTCAAACCATACGCAACACCCATCCCTCTCCTAGGAGCTGACTCAAGCTTCACCACTCATGCCAAGGGTTCATCCACAGTCCCGTGCCCCGCGTTCCCTTCCAGCACTGTCACTGGAATGTGCGTGCCTTCACTCCGCCACAATCTTGTGGCCCAAACGGAAATTCAGGAAGCTGGACTACGCACCATTTTCTGGGAGAACGAGAACTATGGTGATATCCTCGACCCACTCACCAACAAGGTCTTGACTCGTTTCACCCTCAATAGCAGCGGCCTTTACACGCTGCAAGTACCCATCCCACAGGTGTCAACCACCCAAACAGCGGCGGCTACCTCACCATGCTCGTGCCGCAGTTTCTCCAACCCGACCATACTCTACCACTATCGGCTCGGGCACCCAAACTTCCGCACACTTGCTGACATGGCCTCCAAGAAACATCTACTCGGCCTGCCAGCCTCACTTCCTCCACCACCAGACTCCCCCGCTCCCACGTGCCTTGACTGCACCAAGAGCAAACTGCGTCAACAGCCCCACCCGGCCTCACCCTCTGTTGCAGCAGGACCACTGGACCTGTTACACCTGGACGCCTGGGGCCCTGCCCCTGTTCCCGCACGAGGTGGTTATCGCTACTTCCTTGTTATCGTCGATGACCACTCTCGCTACGTCTCTGTTGACCTCCTCCACACTAAGGCTGCGGTTCCAGAGGTCCTCATGGCGTGGGTTAAACAGACACAGGCCGCCTTTGACCGCAAAGTCAAGCGCCTCCACTCAGATGGTGGTGGTGAGTTTTGCAACGACAAGCTCAAAGCCTTCTGCTCTTCAGAAGGCATCAAGCAAAACTTCACCCTCCCTGACAGCCCGCAGCAGAACGGTATAGCTGAGAGTCGCAACCACACCCTGGTGCAGATCACTCGGTGCCTCCTCAGCCACTCCAACGCCCCACACTCTCTCTGGGGGTACGCTCTCTACCACGCCGCCCTCCTCTACAACCTTTACCCCCACCCGCATCTTCCCGACACCACTCCAACCACACTCTGGCTCGAGAAAACGCCCACTGCTCGCTCTCTTCGCGTTTGGGGGTGCACCGCCTATGTCCTCCTCAACCCTCAGGCTCGACGACAGCACGACGGCAAGCTCGGTCCCAAGACCCAGACATGCGTCTACCTCGGACACAACGCCGACTTGCCTGACTACCTCTTCCTCAATCCCTCCACTCAGCAGTTGGTCCGGAGCCGCGACGTTGTCTTTGATGAGACCCGCCCATTCTACTCCACTTCGGGACGGGACCCTCTCTCTGACCCACCCTCCCTCGTGTGGGCAGACTTTGATGCGCCTCCTGACCTCTCGCCTGCTCCGACCCCTTCACCCCCTACCCCTCCTGCCACCGCACCGTCCCCCTCTGAGGTCTCTGACCTGCCCTCACCGGTGTCTTCGGCAGCTGCTCCTCCATCCCCCTCACTTCCCACTCCGCCGACTGTGCAGCCACCTCCGAGCGCACCTATCACCTACCATCGGCGGTCCCACCCTCCGGCCCCACCTCCTCCCCCGGTTCCCCCCACCACAGAGGAACCCGCTCTCCCACACTCGCCCGAGCTGATCACGTACCACCGGCGGCCCATTCCCCCGCCCAAGCATCCTAAGTCAACCCCTCTGACACCGCCTGCCCCACCCTCTTCTCTGGTGGCTCATGGCACTCGTTCGCATGGCGCGGCTCTTCCACTAGCGCTGGTTCTTTGATACACGACGATCACACCGCCTCCTCCTGCTGGGGGGGATGTGCCCTCTTCCCTTCTGGAAGACAGGCATGAGGAGCTGTGTGATCTTCATGCAGTCATTCCTCAGCTCTCGCACATCTTCCCCGACATCACTGACTCACCCTCCCTCAACTTCGCGGAGAACCCGACCATCCCTATCCCTCTCACCGTCCAAGAGGCTCTCTCAGGCCCTCATGCTGCCGAATGGCGTGCTGCCATGGAAGCGGAGATTGCAGCATTCACCCGCAACCACTCCTTCGACGACGAGACTCCACCTCCAGGAGTCAACATCGTCGGGGGCAAGTGGTTGTTCCGTGTAAAACAGCTCCCAGACGAGGCCCCGATGTTCAAAGCGCGTTACGTAGCCAAGGGCTTCACCCAGCAGCAGTACCGCGACTTCTTCCTAACCTTCTCCCCCACATCCAAACCTCCCACCATTCGTACGCTCATGGATGTCGCAGCTCGAGAAGACTTTGAGATCAAATCCATGGATGCCTCATCCGCCTTCCTACAAGGACGTCTCAAGGAGACGGTGTTCATAGACAGACCAGAAGGCTTCCCAGGAGAATTCCCTCCTAACACTGTCTGGAAGCTGAATCGCCCCGTCTACGGCCTTAAGCAAGCCCCTCGCGAATGGCACAATAAGGTGAAAGAAGTCCTCCTCTCCCTGGACTTCCACCCTTCAACTGCTGACCCGACTCTCTTCATCCGCCGTCATTCTGAGTCATTCTACATCCTAGTCTACGTGGATGATTTCATCCTTGTTGCCAAAAACTCGGCTCAGATGACCTCTGTCCAGGCAGCCCTGAGCAAGGCCCTCCAGATGAAAGACCTCGGTGACCTCAAGCATTACCTGGGGATGGAGATCACTCATGATCGCCAGGCTCGCACCATTTCACTCTCCCAGGAGTTCTACATCGACAATGTGCTCAAGCGGTTTGAGATGGAGCTGTCCACACCTGTTGCCACCCCGCTGCCGCTGCAACACCTCCTCACAGCTCCAGCTGTACCCACACCAGAGGCCTGCTCTGAGCCATACCCGGAGCTTGTTGGGTCCCTCATGTACGCCATGATGTGCACCCGACCGGACTTGGCCTATCCTGTCAGTGTCCTCTCTCGCTACGTGGCCCCTGGACGCTTCACTGATCTTCACTGGAAGGCGGCGAAGCGGGTGCTGCGCTATCTTCAGGGCACCAAGTCTCACGTTCTCACACTCGGTGGGCTCTCCCCTCCTCGCCTGGAAGGTTACACCGACTCCTCCTGGGCTGATGACCAGACCGACCGACGCTCCTCTCAGGGATATTGCTTCACCCTTGGGAGCAGAATTGTCAGTTGGCGTTCCACCAGGTCATCTACAGTCTCCCTCTCCTCCTGTGAGGCAGAGCTCTACGCAGGCACCATGGCTGCTCAGGAGGCCCGTTGGCTCACCTTCCTACTCCAGGAGCTTGGTTTCCCACAGTCCGCCCCCACCCTCTGGTGTGACAACCAGAGTACCATCCACATCTCTCAAGCCCTGTGTATCACACCCGCACCAAGCATATTGAACTTCGGCACTTCTTCATCCGTGACCTTGTCCAACAGGAGCAGCTGAAAGTGGAATACGTTGCATCTGACTGCAACCTGGCTGATCTGTTCACCAAGCCCCTTGGGAAAGTTCCCCACCACCGTCTCCTAGGCGCCATGGGGCTCTGTGCACCACCCTCTCTACCATGAGTTCGATTGACGCCTATGGGGGGGTGTTAGTGTTAGCCTTCCATCTCACACTTTGTACTTTGTATTTTCTATATCCTAGAGTAGTGTAGTTTGCATATTGTGTTTGGTTGGGTGTACACCTACATCCCAACCAAACCCAAATGTAATCTCCAAGCAATCTCCAACCCACCAATTGGAGATTGCCTTGGGATTACCCCCAATCCCTATGGATTGCCCCCGATTCCCTTCCCCATCCATTCCCTCCCCTTCTTGGATGTACTTAAAGAGCTTCAAGCTCATTACTAATGTATCGCTTCTAAGCCTAAGTTCTCAGAGATGGGTGAGAGTGGATGGGTGAGAGTGGATGGGTGAGAGTGGATGGGTGAGAGTGGATGGGTGAGAGTGGATGGGTGAGAGTGGATGGGTGAGAGTGGATGGGTGAGAGTGGATGGGTGAGAGTGGATGGGTGAGAGTGGATGGGTGAGAGTGGATGGATGAGAGTGGATGGGTGAGAGTGGATGGGTGAGAGTGGATGGGTGAGAGTGGATGGGTGAGAGTGGATGGGTGAGAGTGGTTGGGTGAGAGTGGATGGGTGAGAGTGGATGGGTGAGAGTGGATGGGTGAGAGTGGATGGGTGAGAGTGGATGGGTGAGAGTGGATGGGTGAGAGTGGATGGGTGAGAGTGGATGGGTGAGAGTGGATGGGTGAGAGTGGATGGGTGAGAGTGGTGGTTGGATCTTTTCAAACCTGACCCGCAGCTCTTTCTGCGCCCTTGCCTCTCACCCTACCTTAATCTACCTGCCCTAACTTGGTTTGGCATGCCGTTCCCTGTGGTTCCTGACCTGACCTCTTTCTGAGACGAATTTTCAGGCGCCTAAAAAAAATCCGCGTGAACTGAGATGACTTATGAGGCGCCTCAGAACCTGATTTGACATGCCGTTCCCTCTGGTTCCTGACCTGACCTCTTTCTGTGCCTGTCCCTGTGCTCCCCTGCCCTGCCAGGTTCCGGTCGCAAGCATGGCATTGCAGCTTCCTCGAAGCTTCTAGAGGGCCTGCCCAGGTCCCTCGCGCACTTCGTCTCCCAGCTTCCTCCTCCTGTACCCGGTGAGCTATTTTCTTGATTTCTTTCTTTCTTGATTTCTTTCTTTCTTTCTTTCTTTCTTTCTTTCTTTCTTTCTTTCTTTCATTCTTTCTTTCTTTCTTTCCTTCTTTCTTTCCTTCTTTCTTTCCTTCTTTCTTTCCTTCTTTCTTTCTTTCTTTCCTTCTTTCCTTCTTTCTTTCCTTCTTTCTTTCTTTCTTTCTTTCCTTCTTTCCTTCTTTCTTTCCTTCTTTCTTTCTTTCTTTCTTTCCTTCTTTCTTTCCTTCTTTCTTTCCTTCTTTCGTTCTTTCTTTCTTTCTTTCTTTCTTTCTTTCTTTCTTTCTTTCTTTCTTTCTTTCTTTCTTTCTTTCTTTCTTTCTTTCTTTCTTTCTTTCTTTCTTTCTCTCTTTCTTTCTCTCCTTCTCCTGGCCCACTCCGCCTGCCCCATTTCCCCTGCCCTTCACTCCTCTGCCCCACTCAACAGGCCCCTATCCGACGTGGATTTCATAATGTCGCTCGTCATTCGAGCAGAGCTCCCACCTGAGGCGACAAGAGTTCCGTGTGTGTGTTGAGTAGTCACCCTCCCACCCTCCCCCTCCCCCCCCCCCTCCCCCACCTCCCTCTCTCCCTTCCCCACCCTCTCCCTGCAGGCCCCTATCCCGATGTGGATTTCATCATGTCACTTGTCATTCAAGCAGAGCTCCCACCCGAGGCGCTAGCAGCCAAATCAGGTGGTCTGCATCGCACTACGCCACCTGGATTGGCACCTGGAGCCCCTGGGGCAGGTGGCGGGACAGGTGGCGCCATGCCATTGGCAGGCAGCAAGCGCAAGGAGCAGGAAGGTGCGGGTCCTCGTTCGCCTCCGTATCAACTACATTTCCAACTACATGTATAATTTTTATATATACTACGTTCTTTTGACATTCTTCTCACGCAATTCTCGATGAGCAGATTACCTCCCCGTTCTTTACAACCTCCCCCTCCCCCCACACTCCCCCCCCCCTTCCCCTTCCCTCCCCCTCCCCCCCCCCCCCTCCCCTCCCTCCTCTCCGCCCAACCCGCCCCCCTCTATCTCCTCAAAATCGACCAATCAGAGGAGGAGATTGCAAATGCAGAGGCCAGGGCACGCAAGCCCCCACCAGTGCGGGATATTTTCCGGCTGAGACAGCTGCAGAGGGCTCGGGCAGGCTCATCTGGGACAGGCTCGTTGAGCGGAGGGGCAGGTGGGACTGGGGGAGGCACTGCTAGTGGCAGTGATAGGTTTTCTGGAGGATCAATGTAGTCATGGGTATTTTGCGGAGCACTTACGAAATTACGTTAGCATTTGTTTCAAAAGAGAAAACAAATGGGGAAACTTAAGGAGAAGAGGGAAAAAATGTGTGAGATCAAAACTTATCATGAGATGTTACACAGCACACACTGCAAATCAAGCATTAGCTCTATGCCTTCCAAAGCAAGTGCTTGTGCCATTTTATTTGTACAGATGTTATGTAATGCTGGCTGAACATATATCAGATTTGTCGAATGGAAAATGAAGTTTGCGAATGCTTTGTATCTCATATGCTCAGTAATAGTAAGGTTTCTACCCCAAAAAGAAACAAGATTCGATGTTGAACGTCGGAAGGGTTGCGTAGAAATTAGATTCCTATCGTTTGCAGAATAGGGTTGTATGAAAATTGCATCTTATACAAAATTGTTCAGGTGTCTATAGTGGGTTGTAATTCATGATGATGACCTGTTCTGCTTGTGATTCGAACACCTCAGCGGAATTCGGTCGACGGACCCGAATTGCCAGTGTCGTCGAGGGGGGTCGTCAAAGCCTGGGCTGACGGGGCGGAGCACTGACGCGCGTGCGGGCCCGCCAGCCTGGCCCAGGGCTGGGCCGAGCGCACGACCGCCGCCCCGCAGCCCCGCCCCGAATGTGAACAGCGGCCCACGTTACCGGGTGGGGTCGGCGAACTGGCGACACCTCGCGCGTGGGAAAATTACCCTCGCGCGAAGGCAGCCCACACGCGCCACCTGCCCGCGAGGTCCTAGTAACCCATCGCGGCCTGCCCGGACGGGCAGGCGAGGGCCAGGCGAAAAGTCGGGGCCCCCTCGGGACACTCGACAACTTCGCGACCCGTTGCGGTGACGCCACGTGTTCGCCCGCCTACTTCGCATCGGGCAACATGCAGAATTTGATACATTGCGAATTCGATGTCGATCGCTTCGCGGCGCATGTTTTTCGCTTCGGGGCGTGACATCGACTTGCTGGCTCGGCGGCGAATGAGGACTTGTGCCACTTGTGCACGACCCCGCCAAACCCCGCCGAGGCAGGCACCACGAGGGCCGGGCGATGCCTCGACCGTTCCTGTGGGGCACCGACCCCCTTTTCTTGGTGGAAGGGGCCATCGCTCCTCATTTTCGGCATCTCGTTTCCCTTTCCACCTTTTCCCCAGCTCTGCGCCTTCTCCCACATTTCACGTCCCTTAGCCGCTTCCCTTCCCCGCCATGTCGGCCGCCCCGAAACTCGGCGAAGTGACTCCGACTTCGCAGGACTTCCCTCTGTATCTCGACCTGGGTAGTGGACTCACTGCCAAGCTCGACGAACACGACTACGCCGTCCTCGTAGACCATAGGCTAGAGTTCAACGCCCGTTGCTTGGGATTCGGCCTCAAGTGAGTGTCCGTATTGGGATGTCGACGTCGACCGCTGGATACCTTGCAGGTCGACGTAGATAGGGTTGTCCCACGTTAGGGTTTAGATCACTACTCGGTGACGCACACAGCCGTAGGTAGGCATCGTACTCCGATCACTACAGTAGGTCGGTGCCCGCATCGGTAGGCGCCATTGATTACAACGTAGCGACGGTGGTGCACCATTGTACTATCGCCATCCCCGTCAGTTGTCGGTTCCAGAACCCACGTGTCCATCCGTCGTGCCGTGCACGTCCTCAAACACATCTACTACCCATGCATGCGTGCAGGTACGCATGGATTCGCGCGGCGCCGGCCAACATGCGATTGTGGTCGATAGGACTCGGCCGGCTTCGGGCGGCGATGGGCAAGGAAGACCACTCATGCTTTGCAACGGTGTTCGACGCCGACGTAGCTGTTATCCCTCTGCATTCGAGGTGAGCCTAAGTCATGATGGTGTGCCATGATGCCTATGTCGCTGCTCCGTTCTGATCGACGTCGTGGTGCCTAGCCTGTGCAGCATCGCACCGCTTCCAGGGGCACATTGCAGCGTCGTGGTCATCCTGTACCCCGGCGACTTGTTGCGGGCCGGGGGAGAGACGATCAGGACCTCTGTCCGGCACTTCGACCCGCAAACCGTGAAGCAGTGGCACCGCGACGAGGCGATCCGCGTGCTGAAGTGAGCTCGATAGTGTAGTCGACGACGCATGCAATTTCGCCGCTGGGCGTTAAGCAAGTCTACTGACGATATGTGCCATGTTGCTTCAGGTTTTTCCGGGCGGCGGTGCTGGCCGAGCTCGGCCGCGATGGCCGGCACTGGGAGTGGCCGAAGCCTTCTGCTGAAGAGTTGGCGGCCAGGCTCGCCGACTTCAATGAACCCGTTCGAGATGTGAGTACCGATCGTTTTACCGTCCTAGCGCGATGCCATCGCCGCCGTCGGTGCTCATCCTTGCTCTCTGCTCTGTTGTTTGCAGAAAATGCGCGACACCGTCCGGGACAGCGACGCAGGCTCTGGCCTCCTATCAATGAGCGCGCTGTGCTGGGTGGTGAAGAGGATGGATCGCCTGACCGGCGACGACCGTCGCAGTGCGACCAGCATGGACAAGGTCCTCGTTTCGGGGTTGAAGGAGCTGCGGATTCGGATGATGACATACATCAAGAAACACGTCGCACGCAGACGGTCAGGCCATGTCGGAGTTGGTGCCGATGCCTGTGACGACGACGCCGCGGAGCCCCCTTCGGCATCCCAAGCAGTCGGTGTCGCCGACACCAGCGGAGAGGCCGGAGACGGCGTCGACAAGGCAGATGAGGAGGCAGAAAGGGCTGTGGCGAGGACCGCGGATCAGGAAAAGGAGGAGGAGGAGGATGACACCGACGATCAGGATGATAACGAGGAGGATCGTGAGGAGCGTGAGCAGGGGCATGGGCAGGAGGAGGAGGAGGAGGAGGAGGAGGAGGAGGAGGAGGAGGAGGAGGAGGAGGAGGAGGAGGAGGAGGAGGAGGAGGAAGAGGAGGAGGATGAGGAGGAGGAGGAGGACAAGGAGGCGGCGGCGGCGGAGGCCGTGGAGCAGGGTTTCGGGTCGGTGGAGCAGGTGGCGGAGGGGGAGAAGCAGCAAGAGGGGGAGGAGGAGGTAGAGTTCCCCTGGGTCGAATTCGAGATGGAGGATGTTGAGGGAGCGGCGGCGGTGGCCGTGGAGGGAGCGGCGGCGGCCGTGGAGGGAACGGTTGGGATGTCGGCGGATGTTGTGCACGTGCGAGGGGAGGGTGCCGATGTGGAGAATGTCGGCGTGGAGGAGGCGCACGTGGTCGGCAATGTGGTTGGCGACGCGAAGGATTAGGATAACGTCGCGGCCCCGACGCCGACGGGCGTGGAGACCACCACAGGGAACGCCGGGGTGGAACGCCGGGGTGGAGCGGTAGAGGCGGGCCGTCAACCGGGTTCCTCAGCAGCTGGTCGGCAGGCAACGCCGGCCGTCGTCGCGCAGCTGCGACAGGAGAACATGTGGCTGAGGGCAGAAAATGCTCGTCTCGAGACGGCGCTCGGAGTGGAGAGGGGCCGGGTGGACAGGTTCGCGATGGGGATTGGCCACCTCGTGGACAAGCTCAGGTCGTTGGCCGACCAGGTCGCCGCCTCCGACTAGGACGCGTCGAGTCGGCTGATGGACGCGTCCTTGACCATGGCGACGACCGTGACGGAGAACATCACCGCCAACATGGGTGAAGCATGGGATGCGATGAAGGCGTACGCCGAGAGGGCGGAGAGCTGGTTGGACGATCTAGAGAATCCGGAGGGGTTTATGGCGGTGCAACGTGCGAACGCGGTCGTCGCCATGGGCAACCACGTGGACGAGCGAGGAAGGGATTGGAGGAATACATATCGAAGCACCTAGTCGCTGCGCAGACCAACATCGCCGCCGCGGTAACTCAACGCGTCGCCGTCCCGCCGCCCACGCAGCCCGCCCCACCGCCAGCCTTCCCGGACGAGCTCATGAAGTCTTTCAAGGCGGACGTGTTGAAGGCGGTGACTGAGGCCACCCAGCAGTCGTTTGCTGCGTCCGGGTTAAACCTCATGACCCAGGTGATCGGCCATCTGGCGCCTGGTCGGCATGGGTCGTCGCCGTCGGACAACGAGGCCGACAAGAAGGGTGCGAAAAGGGCGGGCGGCGGAGATGATGCGTTGAGCTCGAAGCGGAGCAAGGGAGCCGATGGGAGCCGCGGCGTCGGCCAGGTGGGTCCAGGCGGCTCGCGGAGCAAGGGAGCCGATGGGAGCGGAGGTACGAGCGTGGTCGACCAGCTGAAGAAGAACGGGGCCAAGGTGATAAGGACGCACAGCAAGGGCGATGGAATCAGGAGTGCGGAGGGGGGCCCTGTCGACCAGGTTGCCGCTCAAGAGGCTGGACCAACAGCCCCGCCATTGGTCGCCGAGAAGCCGGCCAGTCTAGCGACCGCACCAACGGCGATAGATGGCGGCGCCAAAACCGTCAAGGGACCGTCCGTCGGAGTGGCGGGGACCACGTCGATCCCCCGCAAACCCCCTGCGGCTTGCAGCGCGCCGGTCGCCCCGTCAGCCGCCAACAACGATGGGCCGTCCCTTGCGGCTACTCCAGCACCAGCAGGCACGTCTGCCGCCAAGGTTGACGCGGTGGATGCTGCGGCTAACCGCGCTGGTCCGTCCGCCCCAAAGGCGAACGCGCTCAGGGAGATGCTCAGCCGCATGGAGACCCATCGACAGGACGTGCAGCAGCCTCCCGTGGTCGGTACCGTACCGGCCACAACAGCACGTCGCTCGGCCACTCCCCAGGTCGCCGCCACAACGTCCAGTGCCCCACCTACCGCGCCTATCATCGCCGCCCGTCCTTCTGTGGACCCAAAGTCCGCGTTGCTTCGCGCCTGGTTAGGCGCACGTACTGCGGCTACGCCAGCACGGGCTCAGCCGGTATCCAGCTCATGCGCGACGCCGACGTCGGTGACCGTAGCTGCACACACACTCGGTGCGGCTATTGTCGAGGCGGTGGCGGAGAAGGGCGTGAGTGCAGCGCTAGCCACGGGCGGCAGATCAGTTGACCCTGCACAGGCGGCGAAGGACCACAACGACGCCGATATCGCTGCCATCCAGTACCTGTTGGAAGCGGTAAACCGCCCCAAGCAGCCCCCTGTGCTGGCCATCTTGGACTCGGCGAGTCCCACCGGTTGTACAGCGGAGCCAAAGACGACCACTGCTGCGGTCGGCGCGGGAAAGTCGAAACGGAAGGGGACGGTCGACGCAAGGAAAGCGAGGCCGAGCTCGAAGAAGAAAACACGGGCGACGTCGGCGATGGTGAAGTCGGTGGAGAAAGGACAGGGGATGTCGACGGCGATGGTGGAGAAGGAGAAGGAGGAGGAGATGGAGGAGAAGAAGAAGGAGGAGGAGGAGGAGAAGGAGAAGGAGAAGGAGGAGAAGGAGAAGGAGAAGGAGAAGGAGGAGGAGGAGGAGAAGGTGGAGGAGGCGGAGGTGGGGGAGGAGGAGAAGGAGAAGGAGGAGGAGGAGGAGAAGGAGGAGAAGGAGGAGGAGGAGAAGAAGCTGGAGGAGGAGGAGGCGGCGACGGAGGAGGAGAAGGTGAAGGTGAAAGAACGGAAGGGTCATGGCATCCGCCACGACACCACGGGCGACAAGCAAGGGTGGGTGGGCGAGATTAAGGTGGTCGGGAACGAGAGCAGATACATCGGCAAGTCCCGCGACAAGATGGAGCTGGCGTACCTTCACTCGATTGTGTACCTCCTGTACGACGGTTACGTCAGCAAGATCCTCATGGCCGAGCTCACCGGCTTGGAGGAAACAGTGATGAAGCAGTGGAGGGCGGTGTGGAAGGAAGTCCGGTTCTTGCCGACTGGGATGTGGACGGTGATATGGGCACGGGGCGCGTTCCTCCCAAAGACACGGTAAGTTGGATAAACGTCGGCCAAGCTATGATGTCGACGTCGGCGTTCCTAACGGCCAGTTTCGTGTGATTGCGTGACAGGTTCGATGATATCCTCGGGAAGTATCGAGCGTACAAGACATCAAGCGATGCGCACCACGATGCGCTTTTGCCCGCGATCTGGTTCCCCGTCGATGCCGACACGAAGTCGGATGCAATGATGTCGGCCATGATTGATCGCGTGTCCATGTGCGCGGCGTATGGGATGGTCGCTGCATCCGCGGCGAGAATGGAGGGCGACACGGATCAGAAGACGGCGAAGGTTGCACAGGCGCTGTCGGCCTCCGCTTGCGCCCTGTGGTGCTTAGTCGATGGCGACGGCGCCCAGGTGGCTGATGCCGTCCGCGAAGGGAAGGCGGCGGCGATGTTGGTTGGCGCCAGCGAGACTACCGCCGCCGAGTTCAAGAAGGTCATGACGGCGGTGCTGGAGGTCGCGATCAGCAGGCAACAACCCCTTGGGGAGGTTGCGCACAACGTCGCACCGGCGCTGGAGTCCACCGCTCTTGCCAAAGCCTATCCGGGGTTGGATGTTGAAGCCGAGGCCAAACTGATCGCACGAGCGACGGTGGAAACCCTCGCGTTCTGGGGAATGTGCCCCGTGGATGGGCCGAAACTCAGGAAGATCGGCATCGCGGTGCCGCTTGACGCGCAGATGGAGTACGACATCGAACACAGGGGGAGGAAGAGGCCGAGGGGCAAGCAGGGCAAGGACAGCTCGGGGAAGAAGGGGAAGAAGGGCAGAGCGGGCAAGGACAGCACGGCGGCGTAGTCGGCATAACAATCTGCCATGGGCGGCAGGAGGGAGCGCAAGTAGGTCTTCTTGCTAGGATGGCCTGGTATGGGCGGCGTCGATTATGTGGTTTTTTTGGGATTTTTTTTTCGTTTGATTGTATAGTTTTCGTTGGGATTTCTTTTGTTGGCTGTAACTTTTTGGTAGTGCATGTTACTAGAACACTCCTCGGCAAGGTCGACCTGATCTCTACCATGTTACTCAAATGCGGGCCCGGTTCGATGAACCCCGTCGGCGTATAGCAACTCGGCGTCGTACGGTGTCGACATAGTGCGTCTTGCTGTATGCATGTATATACTCGGCGATGAGCCTCGTCGGCTAGGCCGAGATGGTCAATGGTCGGCGCTTTGGGGAATGTGCCGTGCCGCCCAGGTGGCCGAAACTCTAGGAGGTCGGCATCGATCTGCCGTTTGACGCGCCTATCGAGCGGGCATGGACAGCATGGATGCGTAGTCGGCGCGCGGAGGGAGCGCTAGGTGGTATGATTGCTCGGTTATAGCGTGATCGGCGCCGTTTGCGCCGTTTGCATGCAGTCAGCGATGTCGACATGAATAAGGCACAATGAATTGCACACACATGGTGGCGACTATGTCGGAGTCCGACATATCTGGTTCGGATGTATGTGTTGGATCATGTATGTTCGTGTTGCATCAAAATCAACAAGTACGATGGGAACACTACGGTTTGCTAAATTAGGGCATCATCAACCTACGCTAACACATATACACCGAGGATCTTCATGCCGACTTCTTGCGCTTTGACGGAGGACGCTGCGCAGGTGCGGTCTGCTTGGCCAAGTCGGCCACGGTCTTCGGCATCTGCTCCTCCCAGGTGTCTGGAAACAGGCGGTCGACCCACGTCGTCGGCTTCAGCTCGAGCGCCACCAGCGCACAGGCGAGGCGTAGCTTCGAGACCACCTTGGGGCCAAGCCCCTTGACGCCCATGCCAGGCTCCTTGGACATCGTCGGTGCCGTCTCCGGGTTGAGCACCGTGAGGGCATCGCAGAAGGTCCCAATGCTCGGTGCCGCGATCGTGTTTAGTGCATCGACCACGGCTTCGATGTCGGCATCGCCGTCGCTCGCGCGTAGCTGGCGCACCGCATCCATGGCCTTCAGCATGCGGCGCACCCTCATGTTGAGTGCACCCTGGGTCGCGCCTTTGAGGAGGGTGTGGCGGTCGATGAACCCCGGCTCGGCGACCCTGTCGCAAAGACGACGGGTGTCATTGGCGGTGGCGGAGTTCCAGAGGCGCCAAGCGTCCTGCACGGTCTTTGAATCCCGCCAAGGTTGCACCACGTTGAGCTCGTAACTGGCCTCCTCTGCCGTCTGGGGGGGTGGCGGGGGTTTCCCATCATCTCTCTTGGCTCCGGTCCCCGTGTTGGCCGAATCCGCGGAGCCACCCTCGCCCGGAGTTTGATCGGTAGCCGACGGCGGCGCCGCCGGCATCCTCCGGGCTTCTGACACACGGAGTGCCTCGGTGAGTCGAGCAAGCTCGGAGGTGAGCGACGCGATGGTGTCGTTTTGCTTCTCGATCGTCTCCTGAAAGCCTAGCTTCTCGAGCGCCGAGCGCTCGACCTCCTTCTTCAGCGCCTCCTTGAGGGACATGTTGTGATACTAGGTGTCCATGCGCACGGATATTTCCTACAATGTTGAGTGTGCGGAAAGGCGACAAGAGGTTAGAATTCACCGGCTAAAATTCAGCGACGCCGACATGGTCGGCGACTCACCTCCGGTTGTATCTGAGTCGGGTCCCGGCGCTTTTTGATCGTATCGGTGTCGACCGACTCGACCCTTTTCGCCCAGTGCTGGAAGAGGGCAATCCTGCAGAGCTTGGAACCTTGGACGTACGGGTGCCACGGTGTGCGGACGAGCTTCACCGCGAGGTCCTCGGCGACGATTCGTCGGAACATCACGAGGGTGCGCAAGAAGTGCACTGCGGCTGCAGCGGCGTCGCTCCCGTTGACGGCACGCGTCTCCGCCTGCAAGTCGGAAAGTGGCGTGGGTTAGTAGGGAGTTGGGCAGCCAACTAGGCCACGACGACTGAAAAACATTGTCGGCGTCGCGTGACATACATCGCGCAACATAGCATCCACGCCGGGGAAGATGTGCTCGGCGAGCAGGTCCAGGAGTTTGTCGGAGGGCTCGACCCTGCTGCGCCCCAAGAAGTAGTCTTGCTTGAGTCCCGAGTAGCCGGCCTTCTGCATCACCACCCCAACGGGAATGGCCGTGATGTACGCACGCTTCATCTTGTCGAGAGCCCAGTGTCCCAGCTCGGCGATCTGGGCGCGCGGCGTCCCTCCGATGGCTAGCTCCTGCGCACCTCCGGCGCGGGCGGCGTGCACGTTCCTTTTGCAGAACACCTTGTTGGTCCTCCACATCTGCCGAGTCCAACGTTGGTGGGTGGCGGAGGAGAGCTCCTCCTGCTCCTTGTCGTTTCTGGCGAAGAAGAGATGCTTCTTGTACTAGCGTTCGCGTTCTGTGGTGTCAAGCGGCGAAAGAAAGTCGGTGCCGGAGAACTGACCGATCTGGTCGAGGATGAAGTGCAGCCACAGGCCGGTCTCGCCGACGGCGCACAGCTCCGCTTCCAGGTGTCGCGTAGCGTAGCTCTGCTGAAGACGGGCATCCTTGGAAGTCTTCGAGTTACGCGCGGCGATCACCATGACGACCGGCTGGCTATCCGGGTTCACCTCCGAGGTGCTCGCCAGGTGGTACAAGAAGACGTCGGGGAGCGTGATCTCGCGGATGCTGGCGCCGCGCAGGAGAGTGTGGTGGGAGAGTAGCGTGAGCACCTTGATGAGCAGGAATCGCCACAGCGTCTGCGACGGAGTGGTAGCCCGCGGGTTCCACGCCGCCGCCGCCCATGTCGGCAGCACCCTCATCATGATCTGGCGGAACTGCTCGGCGGTGTAGGTATCGCCGATGGTGCCGCGTCGACGGTCGGCGCAGTTCCTGAACGCAAATCGGCGGGGAAAATCTGTAAGACTGCGTCGACTTCACAGTGCACAGCGATATATAATAAGGTTGTCGACCAACTTACTTGAGGTCCCTCTCGTTCTTGTGGTGGACGTTGAACCGCACCTCCGATCTCACCACCGAGATCTCCCTCATGATGCCCAGCTCCTTCTCTCGGTACAGCGTCGCCTCCACCCTCGCCGCCATCTGGCATGCCTTTATGCGCCCGAGGATCGTGTGCACAGTTGTCGACCTCACAGGCCCCGTTCGCCTGGCATTGTTCTCCTCCCCGAGCTGGTCAACAATGAGGTTACACTCACGGCTCATTTGCTTCACGTAGGCGCGCAGCCGGGTTTCGGTGACCCTAGGGCCGTGCAGCCAGATGTACTGTCGGCGGACCACTTTCTCGTTGCACCAATCCTTTTTCTTGTTGTCGCGGATGTAGTGGCCGATCTCGTCGACGTGCCTAAGTCGTTGCTCATGGGGTAGCTTGTCGCGTATCTGCTTCAGCATCTTCGCCGCCCACTTCTTGTAGTGGTAGATGAACGCGGTGTACAGCCTGAGCGTGCTATTCTTCTCCAAGCATTGTAGGTGTCGTAGGGCGTCCATTATGAGCACGACAATGCTGGAGTACACGATGTCGTCCACTACAAAGTCCGTCGCCTTCCACCCTTCGCGCGGCACCGCCATGTGCTGATTGTCCTCCTTCTCGTCCTCTTCGAGCATGTCACGTATGTATTCAAATTCCCGCCTAAGGCGTTCTTCCAAGGTGCGCGGATTCGTGCTATGCGGAGGACGGTCGTCGACTTCGTCGTCGCTCTCTTCCACGTCCTCGTCGTCGTCATCACCTTGGTTTTCCGAGCCGGCCGGCACCGACGAAGGTCCAATCTGCCCATCTGCCGTCGGTCTCGACTTCTTCGTAAACTCCCCAATTGGCGGATTCGGTATGTCCTTGGTGTACTCCCCTTCGGGAATCTGAGTAAGTTTGTCAAGATCGTAAAGCAACTTCAGCGTCTCTACGGGGGCAGAGGACGGACTGTGGTCGGTTGGGGTACCAACGTCGGGCATGTCGACGTCGTCCATGACCGCTCGTATGCTCTACCGCCGGCCGTGGAAGAGGGAAAGATTGGTAAACCAGAGATGGTACTGATTCACGGGTGCGGTGTACGCCCTAATCGTCGTGCGGCGGTCTTCCTCGAATTCCCTCTCAAGTGCTTCTAACTCAGCGTCGACCTCGAGTCGTTCCAGTTGCGCTTTGATGTCGGCGTCTACCGAATCGGCGGGGGGTGGGATAAGTTGTTGTGGCTGTTGGGCACTAGCCCTTCCTCTGGCCATGCGTCGCCGACTCGGTAAGGTTGGGAGATGCTATCGTCGCCCTGATCTATCGTCGCCGACTTTCCTAGATGACGACCTAGAACCTAGTAAGGCGAAGTCGACGATGGTCGACCCCAACACCGTCCTATGGCAATCTATTCCAGGTCGTCGCCTTTGTGCCGCCGCTCGGTCGACTCGGCCGTCGAGTAACCTACACCCGCAGAGATAGCGAGGGTCCTGTGAAGAAAACGAAGTGCTAGATGGCGCACAGGAGCATGAGAGAAACATGAAGCTGAACCGGCAGAATGAGAGCGTTGTGCGTGGTCAAGGAGGGGTATGGTTGCGAGCCACTGCGCACCTGCCGCGCTCCACGCAGCCCTCTTTGCAAGCGCCGCTGTGCACGTGCATGACGTGTCACGATCGATGCATGTCTAGTGTCACGCCGCTCTGCGCTCAACGGCACTCCCGCCGGTGCCTTGCCACGGTGGAATTCACGTGCGCCACGTGCAATAGGCCAATCACCTAGAGCCAATCACCTAGTTCCACTCTCCCGAAATGACGTAGCGTCCTGCTCTCCCGCGCAAACCTCATCGACCTGCGAGTAGGCGCGTGGCCGGAGGCTTGGTCGACGCCGACATTCCCTGAGTCTGGGGCTCTCTTCGCCTATGCATTGTTTGATCCGCACAGAACCATCCGCGTGGGTCGTGCTGCTGC